TCTCCTGGGAGCGCGCTCTCCGTGATACACGATGCGGGCCTTCATCTTCTTCGGGCCTTTCGGCCCATGGAGGAGTACGTAATCTTCACCTGATGCATCCAGAACCACATGCGTAATGTCCGTCCTGTTGCCGTTTGCTCGCCTCACTTGCTCCGCTGCCGTGAACTCCGCCTCTGTCGAGGAGAAGATGATCAGCGGGTCCGTGTTCGTCTCCAGCTTGGTGCGGGCCTGGCCCGCGGCTACCAGGGCCGCAGTCCCCCAGGGTTCCGCAACCAGTCGCTCCGTCGTCGTCGATGTCGGCGTCGTGGTGGTCGTCGCCTCCTCCAGCGGGCTGTCAGACTTGGCCGCACTGAAGGTGGTGATGAGCTCACGCAGCTTGTTGCAGACCACCGTCGTCGTGATGGCCTGCCTCTGAGCGCCGGTGGCGGTGTCCACATACCCGATGAGACTCCGCAGGCGCTCGATGATCTGGATGTCCGTGTGCTTGACCTTCTTCTTCTTGGGCTTGGCCTTCTCGGCACGCGTGGCAGGGGACGCCTGCCACGCCGTCGCAGGGGGCTCCTGCTGCAGCCCGATGTGCTGTTGGATCGCGCTCACAGCCCTCACCAGACCCTGGAGAACTGAGGCTTGATCCGATCGGCGTGTCGTCTTCTTTGCACCGCCCTTGCCACCTCCCCCGAGGAGAGGGTCAGCTGGCAGCACACTCCGTGAAATTATAGGGCTCCCACTTGTGGAATTCGCACAAGCCGCCACCATGCTCGTAGTATGGATTATTTCAACATACTCGTCCCCCAACGTGAGCCTCGAGGATAAGCAATCTCTCTCTCTCTCTGGAAAATAACAAAATTGAAAAGCGTGGTGTACATGATCATGCCGATCAAAAGCGTGGTGTACATGATCTCGTGGATCAACAGCCTGTCGATCTTCAGCACCCGCCCTGGCCCTAGGGTAGGACTTCACATCGCAGGGCTCCCAGTCGAGGTACACGGGTACCTCATCCCAAGCAAAACTCGTGACATCGTCACCGCCCACTCAGCACGCAGTCGAAGAAGAACGGGTCGTCCGCCATCTCCACCGCATTCGCCACAGCACCCTCCCGAGGAAGAGCACCGTGCCCGCCAACACCATGACCATGCCGAAGCGGTCTGGGGGCTGCTGCTCGTTGGCCTGGTCCTCCGCCCTCCTCCCTCCTCCGTCCAGTCGTAGGGGTAGCCTTCCGGGAGGGTGCCTGGGGCTCCTGCGTGCCCGCGTGCCTTGGCCATGCCGCGCGAGCAAGACTAGCCAACAAGGCGAAGCACGCGATGATTTGTGGATCTGATGCTGCCCTGTGCGGACGGCCGCAAGCTTCAGTATGCAGGTGCATCGTGGCCTGTCTGCCAGTCTCTGCATTTCGCAGCCGTGCTGGCTCAAGGCTTGACCTGAGGCGTCGGCGCTCGGATTTCCCCTTGGCGGCCGAATTGACAGCGCTGAGTGATCCTTGCGGTGCAGTTTCGCCATTGAGTCATCTTGGCTTTCATCGACATCGGGCATTGCAGACAGAAGCGCCACTCTTCCTCCCCCCTCCCCCATCTGCTCCTCTTCCTCCTCCATCCCTCTCTCCCCCCCCTCCCCGTTGACACCCCTTCCACCTCCCCCTCGCTACCTCTCTCCCTCCCTCTCCACCCCTTCCCCATCTGCCCCCCCCCCCTCTCTCCCTGCTTCCTTCCCTTATTCCCTTCCCCCTCCTCCCTCCCATCCCCCCCTCCCTGCTCCTCCTCCTCCTCCTCCTCCTCCTCCTCCTCCTCCTCCTCCTCCTCCCACCTCCCTCAGGGGCGTGCAGCTCCCCCATGCCCGCGCATGCTTTCTGTGCTCTTCGCGAACACGGGGCTCCCATAGATTTAAGTCGGGCATGTCCCTCTACAGGCGGAATATTCAAAAATAGTCGAAAATAGTCTGGAGACGATTTTTTGATGATTATGGATCATTTTTGAATATTTTCTGGCTGCATCCCATTTTTCTTTCAACATACGCCTGTAGGAGGACATGCCCGACATACCCGCAGACCCTGATCCCCAGTACCTGCGCATGTCTCGGCGATCAGCTGTGGCTGCGGTCGGCGCTCGGGGCCTCCCGGGGCCCCCGCCGCCCGGGTCGCGCCACCCCCCTCAGCGGCGGCGCGGCGAGCGGAGGAGCGCGAGGCGCCCTGCCGTCCAGGGCGCAGGTCGGGCAGGGAGGTCCGGACACAGAGAAGCGACGGCGACGACGGCGACGACGACGACGACGACGAGACGACGGACGGTGAAGCAGGCTGCGGCCCGCCCGCGTTCGCAGCCGTCGGCGCGGCAGCAGCAAGAACGGAACAGGGACCGCTGCGGGGCGCAGGCGCAGCACTCATGGATCCTGCGTCTGCTGGCCCGGGGGATCGGTTGAGGCCCCGCCGCGCCGTCGACTCCCTCCGCTCGGAGAGGACCAGCTGGCGTGGGCATGGGCTTTCGACGGTCCGCGCGGACTCCATGGCTCTGCGGGGGGGGGCGTAAGGCGTAATCATAGGCTCTCGACGGTCCGCGCGGATTTCTCGGCTCTGCGCTGGCGCCCCGTGGCGGCGCCTCCGGCGCCGCCCCTGGCGCGCTCCGCGCGCCAGGGGGGAGGCCCCGGAGCAGATCCAGAAAGTCCGCGCGGGCCATGTCGTTTCTTATTCTTCCTGCTCCTCCTCCTCCATCCTCTCTTCTCTATCTTCGATCCTCCCCCTCCTGCCCCCCTCCTCCTCCTCCTCCTCCTCCTCCTCCTCCTCCTCCTCCTCCTCCTCCTCCTCCTCCTCCTCCTCCTCCTCCTCCTCCTCCCACTCGACGGGTGGTTTTATCGCTATAGGGTTCAGGCCTTGCCGACGTTTCCGCCCTCGTCGCCACGAATTACCCCGCCGGATGCACCCAGCGGCTGGTCTCGCTCCCCTCGGCCTCGCCTGGCCTCTCTGGCTTCTTGGCTTAGGTCGGGCCTGTCCCCCTACAGGGGGTTTTCGACGAAACATTAAAGATACTCCAAAATTACCCCAAGAGGGTAAAAACTATTCAACAAATAGTCCCCAGACTATTCTTGTTTTTTTTGTATTTTTGTTGCGAAGGCCTTAACGGCCGGCCCCGCCGACCATGAAAGACGACGACGGCGATGACGGCGACGACGACGGCGGCGGCGGCGGCGGCGACGACGATGCCGACGACGACGACGGCAGCGGCGGCGGCGGTGGCGGCGGCGACCACGGTGGCGGCGACGACGGCGACGACGACGACGGCGTCGACGAAAAACATTCAAACGCTTACGGAACACCCGCAATTTCACCCCCTTGGTGTTACAGTGGGAGCGTTCTGGGCGAATCCTGGGCGCCCAGAGAGGCCCGTGTCGGGCCCATTGGGAGCACCCAGACATCCGTCCAGGATGAGAGGAGCCCGTCCGTGGGGCGGGGCTCGGGAGGTCTGGTGTTAAATCGGGGACGTCCCTCTACAGGAGGAATAGCCAAAAATAGTAAAAATATAGTCAGGGGACGAGTTTTCTATTATTCGTTTGTCCTAGCAATGTCTATTATTTCTTATTAGTAAGGGCTTGGCCCCCATGCCGCTCCCCCCTTAGAATGGGACTTGCCGGAGCTGTCTTGGGATGTCTGAACTCTGACGTGAAGCACTGTCGGGACTTCACGCGAGGGCCAATCTTAGTTTACGATGGTTTATGGCTTCGGTGGCGCGAATGTTCTGCAATGCGCGATGGCTTACGCGAACACTGCGTAATTTAAAACGGTTTGTGGCCTCGGGGACGCAATTCTATAATTTATAAGGGTGTATGGCCTCGGGGGCGCAAGTATTGCATAAATTACTCAGGTGCATGGTCTCGGGGACGCGAGTTTCGCGTAATTTGCCAGGGTTTGTGGCCTCGGGGACAAGTATGATGTAACTCAGACGGTTTACAGCCCTGGGGACGCGAATCTTCTATCATTTTCGAAAGTTTATGGCTTCGGGTGCGCGGATATTCTGTAATTTGTATTGGTTTATGGTTTCCACGAGTATCGCGTACATTACAAAGGTGTATGGATTCTTGTGCGCGAATATTTGACAATTTACGAAATTCTGCGATGGAGTATGGCCTCGGGGACGCGAATACGATATAGATTACGAGGATTGATGGCCTCGGGGACGCGAACATGGTGTAATCTACCAGGGATTATGGCCTCGGGGACGCGAATATCATTGATCTGTTCGTCTCCCACGCACGCACAGGAATTCAGACAACGCGATCTGGGCGTGTTGCAAAAGCTGGTTTGGGGCTGCCCCCCTCGCACGCTCAGTAAAGATTAGCAGTAAGAAGGCAGAAAGCAGGACTGCAACAGTGGAAACTGGAAGCTGTAACTGGCACAGGGAGCTGCAATCCTCACCCTCGCAGCCTGGTGGCCCCGCAAGAGGGCCGGCGGATTTTCGTCCAAAATCCGCCTGTAGGAGGACACGCCCGACCTAAGTTGGTCGCCTGTAGTTCTTGGAGGAGGCACGACGTCACATGTCTGGGGTCGGACTTCCATCGCACTTTGCCGATCGATCCGAGTCGATGTCGATGTCTGTTCGGGCTGGCCCGATCCGATTCCATGTCCATGTTCCGACGATCCGATGCGGCCCGATGGTTGCCATGGCGCTGTTGTGCACCGTGGCGCAGCCGATCCAATCCGATGTCGATTCCGTGCCTGTGCAGACCGATCTGGCGCAAGTGTCGATGCGATCCGAGTTCCCGACTCAGTGCTGGCCGATCTTGCATGCAGGACGCATTCGTTTCTTGGCGGAAGCGGTACTGGACCCCGGGGCCCTTCCCCGGGGTCTGACCTTCCTTGGGTCACCCGTTGGGTTGCGCTTCGCGCGTCGCGGTCTGGGCCAGAGCGGTTACCCGTCCCCACAGGGGGCGGCGCGATGGCGCGAAGACAGCCGCGCATCGCGGGGCGCGCTGCGCGGAGTCCAGGGACCAGCTCGGAACATCTCCCGACCCCTACGATGGGCATCGTTTCGTGTCCACGCCAAGCTCTGGATTCTCTCAGCCTTTGAGGGCGCAGCCCCAAGACTGTCACCTTCATGTCGGCTTCTTCCGCAACCAATGTGGCTCAAGGCTCTCCCGTTGCAGCTTCCAAGCGGTTTGGCTCGGCCGGCAGTGCCCTGCGTACACGATCCCAGCCATCCGCCGCACTGGACCGCTTGCGTGCAGTTCCCCGCGATGGCGGAGGCGCGCCACACGGCCCGTCTTTTCAGCGGCGACCAGGCCGCGACCTCGCTTGAGGAGCCCCCCGCCCGCCCCGTGATGCAACCCGTGATGCCTCCGCGCCCGGCGCAGCGCTTCTCCCTCAGCGCCTTAAACGAGGGCGGCGTGCGATCACGCCCCCCGATCACCGACGAGGAGCTCGCCGCCTTCTGGCCGCGGCCGCGGCCCGCGCCTCAGGCGGCGCCCCCTGCCGCGGGCAGCAGCGCCGCACCCGCCGACGCCGCGGAGCCCGACGGCGGGCCCGCGGACGAGCCGACGAAGTGGGCGGGCGCGGCGGCGCTGGCGCTCCGCGCGCAGCGGTGCCGCGGAGACGCCGCCACCGCGGAGGCCTCGGAGCCTGTTGTGCCGGTGAAGCCGTCGTCGGCGCCGCGCGCCGCGTTCAGGTCCGGGGCCCGGTCGTACCACCCTGCCTCGGGTGGCTCGCCGGCGTAGGGCGCGGCGGGTCGCTTCCGCCTGGCGCCGCGCAGAACGGGGGGTGGCTGAGCGAGGCCGTCATCACGGGAGCCCATGGAGGGCCCCAAGCAAACAGCATGCCCCAAGAGGGCCCCCGCGCTGCACCTGGCGCCACCCGCTGCGTGAGGCGCCGCCGCGTCGGGCTCGGACTTCTCCTCTCTGGGAGCAAGCGATGGCTAGCCTCAGGGCCAATGGCCCTTATGGCCCTTTTGCTTGCCATGAGCGGAGCTCGAGTGCAACAACGTGCGCCACACCCGCTTTCGTGGGGAGGTGGAGTGGAGGAGTTGCGGAGAGAGGTTGTGCAGGGGGAGAAGGGCGGGCGTTGAAGTCGTGATCTATGAACGAGGAGACCCCAGGACGGTCCCGCGCTGCACCCGACCTTGCGAGGTGCCGTCTCGCGGGTCTCGGATTTGTTTTTGCGGGAGGCCTGCACTGGCCAGGCTCAGTACAAATGGCCGTCTTGCTTGCCACGAGCCGCTTTGGTGGGGAGGTTGAGGCGGAGAGTTACAGAGAGAGGTGTCGCAGCAGGAGAATGGCGGGCGTCGCGCACGACCCAGCCACTTTGCGCATGCTCGCCGGCAGTGATCCGATACTGCGCGCGTGGAAGTCATGCCCTCCAGGGGTGCTTTGAGATGGTATCACCAGTGATCCTTCAGAGCAGCAGCGCATCTGGAACGCATCCTGAGTCAATATTATCCTGGCATCGTTCCCGCCCTTCCGTTGGAAGCGCCCTCTTTTTTTTCTGTCGTGCGCGAGGAGGCCTCGGGCATCCGACGTCGTGGCTGCCCAGTTCTGCGGGCTCCAGATCTCAGGGGGAAAAAAACACACAGACACTATTAATCGTCGACTCCCTTGAAAATATGGGAAAATATGGGCAGTGGAGGGGAAGACAAAAACCCAGAAAATCCCTGGGCGCGTGGCACGCGCTGCTCGCGGGCGATCCCCGGCCGAGCGGCCTTGTCCCAAAGGCCGATCCCCCTGTCAAGCCCGACGGGTCCTCTCGAGTTGAGAATGCCGCCGCGGGGCGCCCGAAGTGGGGAGTGGCGCTTGCCCTCCCGCGTTTGAAACACTCGCCCTGGGGCGGGTCCATCCATGGTCTCGGCGTCGGCCGCTGGGGCAGCGCACGGGCCGTGCATCAGTCAGACTCGGCAGCGCAGTAATGTGTCTCCTCGATGTTTTGGTCGCGTATGTTCCAGCGTAGTTAGGCGCGCCCGCTTTGCATGCGACCCACGCGCGCCGTCATTCGAGAAGGCCTTAAGTCGGCAGCGCTCACCTGCGGGTAATTTCGCTCCCCGACAGCGCATGCTTGCTCGTTATGACGACCGAGACACCCGAAAACGAATCTTCAGATTGGATTATCAATCTCAGGGACAGTGATATGATCGAGGCTGGCTATCAAGGGACGAGCTGGCCTACTCTTCATCAGCCACGCGCAGGGGGTGGTAAGGGGAGGGGGGAAGGCGTCTCAGAAGGAGGCTGCTCCTTGGGCGGCGCGGGCCTGATCTGTGGATACTGTCAACCCAAATCGTAAGGATGGGCAACCGTCCCAAGGGTATCTTTGCATCCTTGCCTCCTCGGCCCATCATTGGCCGCTTTCGTTGGCCTCGCCCCGCTGGAAAAGCTTCGACGTGGCCTTCCAAGGCCCTCGCATCCTTATCGCGCGTCCTTACTATACAGGCCGATTGTATCAGGGCAGCGCCTTCTAAGAAGCAACCTACTTCTCAAAGGCCACCCCCCCTCCCCCCTGCCCGGCCCCCTCCTCTTCCCCTACCCCCTGAGAAGCCTCCCCTCCTCCCTCCTCGTTTCCGCTCGTTCCGAATCGTATGCCCGCGGCAGCCTCGGCCTCACTTCCGTGCTCCCGCTCGTTCCGAACCGTGCTCCCGCTGCAGCGTTGGCCTCACTTGCAGTGCCCTGCCATGGCATGCAATGCAATGCAATGTTGTGTTCCGCTGTGCGATACCATGCCTGGAGCTGTATGCTATGACACGCAGTGCTTGGCGTGCTTGACTGCGCAGTGCCACGCCATGCCATGCCATAGCGCGATTCAATCTTCATCGCCATGCTATGCTCTACCATGCTATGCTATGCATCGCGCTTCTCTCGGGATCGTGATCCTCCTCGACGTCCGACCGTTCGAGTAGAGAGGGGCTCTGCGCAGTTCTGAGGGGGTGGGAGGGCGGGGTAGCACGTCAGATACGACGCGAGCGCACCCAGCTTGCCCCTCCCCTCTCCCCCCTCCCTCCACTCCTTGCCCCCTTCCTTGGAAGAGGAGGAGGAGGAGGAGGAGGAGGAGGGGTCCCAAAGGAGGAGGAGGAGGAGGAGGATCATCGAGGAGGACCGAATGGTAAGGGGAAGAGGAGGAGGGGAGGAGGAGGAGGAGGAGGAGGAGGAGGGAGGTCCGTGCAGGAGCCCCGGGAGGTGCGCGGCACGCGCCCGCCGCTCCCCTGGGGCCCCCTGCGGGGACCTCGCGGGGGGACCGCCGTCAGCCAGACGGGTCGGGGGGAGGAGCACTCCTGAGCCTCCTCCTCCTCCTCCTCCTCCTCCTCCTCCTCTCCTCCTCCTCCTCCTCCCTCTCTCTCTCTCTCTCTCCTCCTACTCCTCCTCCTCCTCCTCCTCCTCCTCCTCCTCCTCCTCCTCCTTTTCCTCCTCCTCCTCCTCCTCCTCCTCCTCCTCCTCCTCCTCCTCCTCCTCCTTCTCCTCCTCCTCCTCCTCCTCCTCCTCCTCCTCCTCCACCTCCTCCTCCTCCTCCTCCTCCTCCTCCTCCTCCTCCTCCTCCTCCTCCTCTCTCTCTCCTCCTCCTCCTCCTCCTCCTCCTCCTCCTCCTCCTCCTCCTCCTCTCCTCCTCCTCCCTCCTCCTCCTCCTCCTCCTCCTCCTCCTCCTCCTCCTCCTCCTCCTCCTCCTCCTCCTCCTCCTCCTCCTCCTCTCCTCCTCCTCCTCCTCCTCCTCCTCCTCCTCCTCCTCCTCCTCCTCCTCCCCTCTCTCCTCCTCCTCCTCCTCCTCCTCCTCCTCCTCCTCCTCCTCCTCCTCCTCATCCTCCTCCTCCTCCTCCTCCCTCCTCCTCCTCCTCCTCCTCCTCCCCCCTCCTCCTCCCCCCTCCTCCCTCCTCCTCCTCCTCTCCTCTTCCTCCTCCTCCTCCTCCTCCTCCTCCTCCACAATTACACCATGTGAATACAACTCTCTTCTCTCCCCTGCTGACGTCCCGGAAAGGCGGGTCCCCCTCTGCCGCGCATTGGTTGTTTACATTGGATTCCTCGGAAACGGGTTTTGCTGGGTTTTTGTTATGAATGCAGCGCTCGCTGAGGCGCTGGCCTCATTTCCGCCCTTCCGCTCGTTCCGAATCGTGCTCCCGCTGCAGCGCTTGCCTCATTTCCGCCCTTCCGCTCGTTCCGAATCGTGCTCCCGCTGCAGCGTTGACGTCATCATTTCCAGCGCCATGCCACGGCATGGTCTGAAGTCCTTCCAAATAGCTCCAACATTTAAAGATAACATATGCCCCCCGACAAAACAATCGGAAGTGATTACACATTCGGTGTCGATTCATTGATTTTCTGGGTCGCAGAAGCCCCCCCCACTTCGGGGTGTCGCCACGCCATGCTATGTCATGCTACGCGCCAGTCTTTAACACCATGATCTGCCATGTAATTATTTGCCATGCTACGACATCCGATTGTGCGAATAGAGAGGAGATCTACGCCATGGTAAGGGATCGGAGGGAGGGGTAGGACTTCACAGACATGACGCGAACGCACCGAGCTTGTCCTTCTCCTCCTCCTCCTCGTTTCCTCATCTTTTCCTCCTCCTGTCCTCCTTTTCCTCCACTTTTCCTCCACTTTTCCTCCTCTTTTCCTCCACTTTTCCTCCTCCTCCTCCTCCTCCTCCTCCTCCTCCTCCTCCTCCTCCTCCTCCTCCTCCCCCCTCTTCCCCTCTTCCCCTCCCTTTCCCATCCTCCCAGACGCATGCCCAGACCTCCCTGTGGCGGGGCAGGGCTTCCGTAATTAGCGGAGGTCTTTGCAGGGGGCCTCCGGGAGCGGCGCACGCATGCCACGGACCTCCCGGGGCTCCTCCACGAGTCGAGTGGGAGGTCGACTTCAGAATGGACTTGCCCCAGAATTCTAGGGTTCCTAGGGTCGGAGTAGATGGGGTCGGAGGATCGCGCCACATCGCCGATGCATTCGTTATGCGTCTCGATGCGAAGCCCGGTTTGCTTCGCGCTGGCGTCGCCGATGTATCGCCGATGCATGGCCGATGCATCGCCGATGTATCGGCGGTGCGGCGCGGTTTTCCGACCCCATCTACCCCCATCCCATCTTGGAGGCCTCTAAGAATTGAGGTTTTGTCAAAGTACTGAACAAACTTCAAATGTTCGTAGACCTGCGCAACATGCACGTGTTCCACGTTTCTTCGGCAGGGCATCATTTTGGGGGCGCAGCCTGACCTGGGACAGTTCAACATCCTTCACGAACACGAGACCCTCAGCCGGCCAGAACACCCCAAGCCGCAAGATCGTTCGAAGGGCACCATCCCCAGGGATGCACAACAACACCCCCAACAAGCACGAACATGTGGACACCCTCCCCGAACCGACCTCGATCTTACTAGGGGGCCACATGCGAACCCTACCCCTACCCCCCACGATTTCTGAGGGGGAGGGTGGGGTTCACTCCGTTCGGGAGCTCCCGAGCGAAGTGAACCCCCCCCTCCCCCCCCCTCAGAAATCGTGGGGGGTAGGGGTAGGGTTCGCATGTGGCCCCCCACTTACGGCTCGATCCGCAGATCAATTTCTGTAGTCGACCTCCTCGTGGAATAGAGCAGCTCGGGGGCGGCAACGAGGGGGGTGATGACTAGAGGGGGGGATTTCAGGGCGCGTGCCATGATTTTTCCTCGGATTTCATGGCGCCTCTTCTCATTTCATTGCGTCCCTGGCCCCCCCCCTTTGGCCGCGCACATGCCGCCGGCCATGATTTGCACCCCCCCCTCTTGCACACCTCCCTCTTGGCCGCCCCCGAAGAGCTTGGGAACCCAGACCTCCTCAGGTCATACATACCAAAATCATGACGGTAGTTTCTTTCCATTTTCGGCTTCTGGAGGCCTTCAATTGGCTCTGGGGGAGCACGCAGTGGAATAGAGCTCGGGGGCGGCAAAGAGGGGGGTGATGACTAGGGGGGGGTGGATTTCAGGGCGCGGGCCATGATTTGTCCTGGGATTTCATGGCGCCTCTTCTCATTTCATTGCGTCCCTGGCCCCCCCCCTTTGGCCGCGCACATGCCGCCGGCCATGATTTGCACCCCCCCTCTCTTGGACACCCCCCTCTTGGCCGCCCCCGAAGAGCTTGGGAACCCAGACCTCCTCAGGTCCTACATACCAAAATCATGACGGTAGTTTCTTTCCATTTTCGGCCTCTACAGGCCTTCAACAGGCTCTGGGGGAGCACGCAGTGAAATAGAGCTCGGGGGCGGCAAAGAGGGGGGTGATGACTAGGGGAGAGGGATTTCAGGGCGCGGGCCATGCTTTGTCCTCGGATTTCATGGCGCCTCTTTTCATTTCATTGCGTCCCTGGCGCCCCCCCTTGGGCCGCGCACATGCCGCTGGCCATGATTTGCACCCCCCCTCTTGCACACCTCCCTCTTGACCACCCCCGAAGAGCTTGGGAACCCAGACCTCCTCGGGTCATAGATACCAAAATCATGACGGTAGTTTCTTTCCATGTTCGGCCTTTGGAGGCCTTCAACTGGCTTTGAAGGGGCACGCAGTGGAATAGAGCTCGGGGGCGGCAAAGAGGGGGGTGATGACTAGGGGGGGTGGATTTCAGGGCGCGGGCCATGATTTGTCCTGGGATTTCATGGCGCCTCTTCTCATTTCATTGCGTCCCTGGCCCCCCCCCGGGGCCGTGCACATGCCGCCGGCCATGATTTGCACCCCCCCTCTTGGCCGCCCCCGAAGAGCTTGGGAACCCAGACCTCCTCGGGTCATACATGCCAAAATCATGACGGTAGTTTCTTTCCATTTTCGGCCTTTGGAGGCCTCTAACAGACACTGGGGACGTCAAACAACGATTCATGATGAAGAACCCGTCCCAGGGAATGGGTCGAGAACTTTGGGACCAGAGGAAGAGGAAGAGTTGCAGGAGTCGGAGGAGGAGGAGGCGGAGGAGGAGGGAGGAGGGAGAAGAGAGGAGGGAGGAGGTGGATCAAGCGGATGAAGAAGAGGAGGAGGAGGAGAAGGAGGAGGAGGAGGAGGAGGTGGAGGAGGAGGAGGAGAAGAAGGGCGGACAGAAAGGCCAGAGGCCTCTTGGATGTTTCTCGGAGTTTCTTCGGATGTTTCAGGAGAGCTTCTTGCAGACCCGTGGGGGCGTCTTGGGGGCCTCTTGGCGAACCCGGTGGCCTCCTGAAGCGTTGTGGGTGCCTTGGGGGGCCTCGGTGGGGCCTCTTCGGGGTCCTTTGGCAGTCTCTTTGGGGCATCTTGGGAACCTCTTGGCGGCATCTTGGGGGCCTCGTGGGGCCTCCTGCGGCCCTCTTGGGGCACTCTTGGGAGCCTCGGGGCCATCTCTTGGAGGTGATCGATTAAATTTGCCCCCCTCCCAGGGGGCCAAAATTGGCTTACAACCTGCGTAAAGTCAGTGGTTTTTGTTTTTTCACCGAGACAATGAGGTCCAGGGGGAGGGGGTAGGGGAAGGGGTCAAGACACACACCAGCCCGCAAGCCGTCTAGCTCACTCACACCCGCCCTCCTTACACATCAGTAACACCCGAGCCTGAGCATGTTCAGCGGTCGTCTTTGGATGGACAGCTACTGGGAACCAAAGCCGACCCCAGGTGCGCGACGCTTGGGCGAGGTGCGCACGCGTGCCAGGGGCGCCACGCGCGCCAGGCACCCCTGGGGTCCGAGCGTGCCAGGCACGCCTGGTGCGCCAGATGCGCCACGTGCTCCGAGTGCGGCCATGTGTGCCGCACACTCCAGCCGCGCCAGGTGCGCCGCGTTCGGGGCACGTGCAGAGTGCGTCAGGTGCGCCTGCGCACGTGACAGCACACATCGGGAGACATGTCGGCCCCCGCCATCCTTGTCGAAAACCGATGCCCACCATTGTGTCTGCCGGGCCTGCGCACAGCAGGCCACGCGCCACCACCCCAGCCGTCCCTGTCAAAAACCACTTGACAGTGATCGCGGGATGGCCGCGCATGATCCAGATTTAGCCGCGGGGTGCATGTTGTATTGTTGTTGTGTTAGGGATGGTCGCCTTGAGCACATCAGGGAATATGCTGACACCCCCGCCGTCCTTGTCAAAAACAATACGAAGTGCTCGCGGGCCTCACGAACATGACTCAAGACGTTGCCCCAAAGTGTACTTACCATTTATGTTTTACTGGGATGGCGGGGGGGGGGCCACATCGGGTTTGCCGCGCATGCTCCAAATGTGGAGGCAGAGTGCGGTTTGTATGGTTTTTGACAGGGATGGTGGGGGGCGGGTGGGCATGGTGTCGGCATGGTGCCTGGTTGGCCCCCGGTCGCCTGGGGGAGGGGGTGCATATTGATCAGGAAAAGTGATCAAGCTACCCACCTGAAGCCGTCTTGCGCACTCCCATCCGCCCTCCTACCACATAAGTAACACCCGGATGCCAGCAGATCGCGTAAGGACACCGCAGGCGCCACGGGTTCGGAAGCCTCTTGGGCCCAGCTTCGAGCTTTCTTGGCAACTTTTGGAGCCCTTGGGAGGTTTCGAAGGCCCACTGGAAACGATGAGGCGAAACAGCAGCAGCCGCTGATGTGTCAAACCAGTCGGTCGACCACCTGCGCCCAGAAGGCAGGTGGGATCTGCTGGCGCCCAGCTGTCCTCCTAAAGTGCCAATACAAAATGGTCGCGGGGCGGCCGCGCACGCTCCGAATGTGGAGGTAGAGCGCGTTTCGTATTGCTTTGTTTTGACAGGGATGGTGGTGGTGGGGGGGGGGCCCTCATGGGGTTATCACAGGTTCCTGGTTGGCTGCTGGCCGGGTGGGGGAGCGTGTCTATATCAATAGAGAACGGTGATCAAGGTACCCTCCTAGATTGGCTTATTGATAGGGAACAGTGATAGGCCGTCTAGCCCACTCGCCCTCCCAACACATAAGTCAGAGTGAGGGGGCCGAACGGTCTGTCACTGTCCCTGTGCGCGTGGCTGACGTGGGGTTCCGCGGTGCGGCTTGTTGTTGTTGTTGTTGGATTCTCATTACTGGAGTTAATTATTGTTGATCCCCCCTCCAGTGCACATTGTCTTTTTCAATTGACATGCCCCTCCCGCTAGGTTTAGTGTTAGGCTTAGTGTTAGGGTTTGGGGTCAGGGTTAGGTCTACGGTTAGGGTTTAGGCTTCGGGTTAGGGATTAAGGATTAGGGTTCAGGGTTTGGGTTAGAGGTTAGGGGTTCGGGGGGGTCGGGGCGGGAGTGGTAGGGATGGGGTTCCGGAGCCGGGGCGCGAGCCGGGGAAAGGGGGGGGGGGGGGTTCGCCGACGACGGTTCGGGAGAGGGGGGGGGGGGGGGGGGGGTTCGCCGACGACGGCTCGGGCAAGGGGGGGGGGGGTTCGCCGACGACGGCTCGGGCAGGGGGGGGGGGGGGGGGTTCGCCGACCACGGCTCGGGCAAGGGGGGGGGGGGGGGGGGTTCCGACCCCCCCCCCCCCTTTGGGTGATCCAGCGGCGCGCCCTCTTGCATGTGCACAGAGACGATCACAAGACTGATTGGTGTTTGCACGAGTTAAAAACCGGCGCCATAGATAAACTTAAACGCCAAGATCAAGGAGGAGCAGACAATACATCCGAATCTTTTGCATATGGCTATACAGAAGAGGTATGTGCCAGCATCCAGTTTTACATAGACGCGCATTTCAAGAATGTTAATAAGGACGGGATGGCACACGGCAGCAATCGCTGCAGGTAGTTGTGTGTGTGCGCCTCCCAGAACCATTCCTAGAGCCACTTGGTGGGGCCTGTTGTTGGAACATTTGTGGGGCCTCCTGGGTTTTATGTCTCATCCTGGGGGGCGCTGTGTCTGGGGTTTCTTTGGGCCATATTGTTTCATTATTGAGACGTCCACCGGCCGTCTTGGAGCAGTCTTTGGTCCGCGGGGAGCGCCAGAGAGCAAGCCGCGGGTGCGCTATTAAGCGCGGGTGATCGAAAGGGTGGGGAGACCGCCTCAAGATAATTGCACAAAGTCTCCCAGACAGATAGAAGGCATTATGTTACGCCCCAGCGTGCCAGAGCACGGTGGTGGATTCCTTGCTGCTTTCAGCCGTGTACGTCTACATCACGGTGACACTTGGATACCCTTTGTTCAGCGCCGCGTGGGGTCACATAGGCGACATTGCTACATTCGACGATGATCCAGACGAGTGGTGGTGGGTGGCCATCAGTTACATCGCGGCGCATCTCGATGCCCATCTCTATGTCTTCATGGGCGCTTGCTTGGCCACGGCACACCGACTCTGCACTGGCCGCCGCCTTTTCGTGCGCTATTCTGGGAAGACGTTGGTCATAGTCGATTGCACGGTCAATTACAAGCTGCTCCGCGCCTATGTGTCCAAGTTGCGTGCGCTTGCATTCCGGTTCACCACGTTTGGCGTTCTGGGCCAGAACGGCGAGGATCACTTCGTGCATGAGATGACCCACCTGACCACGTCCGATGTGATCATTCTCGCTGGCCGCGCCGACGGTCGCCTCGGGACGCTTGCCTCCATGGAGGCCGCCAGCATCATGTCCCTGCAGCAGGCGCGCTTCATCGCTGCGAACCCGAACACGGGCGTTGAGATCGTGTCCGTCGGGCACAACCCTTGGATGAAGCCCGGCCTCTTCCAGAAGTCTGTCACGCTGTCCTCTGAGCACAGGCCAGCGTTCTATTCTCAGAAGCTGCTGCGCAGTGAGTTTGGTGGGCACGCTCCTGCGGACGTGATGCATGGGGTTGCCATGCTCGTCGAGGGGGACTTGAGCGGTGCCAGCACGCGAGGCAACGAGGCTCCGTTCCAGGATGTGCGGATTGAAGATATCCAGCAAAAGATGAGGTCCCAAACGATAGATTTCGATGATGCCCAAGTTGTCATAAGCGAATTCGTCAAAGAGTACTCGACAGTTTTGGATATCGAGCCTGAGGACTTCGACATCACGCAGGTTCTCGACGACGTTGCAGTGCATCTGACAAGCTCGCAGGTCCGGAAGGGCAGCAGAACCATCCGCGGACACGCTCCACAAGCGGCATCTGCAATAGCGACGAACATGTGCGACACGGTGGTGAAGAAGTTGAGCCCCGTCAAGTTCTTCGCCCGGCAGGAATCCACTTTGTCTCAGCATCCTCCTCAGAATGAGCAGCCGCAGCGCGAGGATTCGAGGTCTTCGGGAATCTTTAGCAATGGGAGTGAGATGGCTACACTATGCCAGGGTCCGGAGACGTTCAGTACCAGAAGTCTCAGTTCTAAGAGGAAGACCGGCGTCTTCAAGTTCACCGCCTCGAACATCATGGCGGTGCTCCGCAGTCGCAATATGGAGAAGATCATCGCGCAGATGCAGCTGGACCAGCAGAAGAGGTTTGCGCTGGCCAGGCACAACATGGGCGACGTCGCAGGAAATGCCTGGAGCGTACTGAAGGCATGCTACGAGGAGTGGGCTGACTTCGTGGCGAAGAGGGGTCAGGAGCGTGCCGACAGGCAGACGGAGAACTTGGCCTCCTGCATGGCCGAGGTGAACGCGACACAGCCCCTCGCGCTGCCGAAGCAGGCGGCGTGGCGGACGCAGGAGGAGTTCCGGCAGCGGAAACGCCAGTGGATGATGCACTACAGCGCGTTGCCGTTCTCGATGCCTTACTCGACCCACCGGTGCTTCGACTTGTGGAGGGAGAACGTGGAGACCATGAAGGCCCAGACCGCCATGAGCGAAGCCCCAACCTCCAAGGTGGGCAGCATGCGGGGCATGCAGAGCCTCGGCTCGCGCATGTTCGGCCAGGCCAGTTCGATAAAGCACAGCCCGAGCAAGACCTACAGCCCGACGAAAAAGTACAGCCCGAGCAAGACCTACAGCCCGACGAGAAAGCACAGCCCGAGCAAGACCTACAGTCCGACAAAGAACAACGGTAACAGGCTGACCTGGGACAGCGCCACCAGGAAGACTTCGATGCTAGACCCCGCAGGCACCCAGGACGCCGTGATCGGCGAGCAGAGCGGGTCCAAGGCCCGCGTCAAGAAGGGCGCTGGCGGCAAGCACATGATCGCCGAGCTCGGCTACATGGAGGGCATCTACGAGACGCGCGTCGCCGCCGCGGAGAGGCTGCTCGCCTTCTACGTCCTCTTCCACGCGGCCGTGCGCCCCGTCTCGCGCCTCTGGGGCCTCAGCTTCGACATGGACCGCAGCGAGTCCAGGCTCCGCGTCGCCTCGACGCCCGCGCCCGTGCCCTTCGTCGAGAGCGTGGACGCCGACGGCCTGGGCCACGACGGGGCGGCTCCCTCGGCCGACCCCTCGGCTGCCCAGCGGGCCTCGGACGACGCGGGCGGGTCCGAAGACGCCCGGCGGGCCTCGGTCGAGACCTCGTACGACGCGGGCGCGTCCAAGCCAGATTGGACCGAGAGCTCGGACTCCAGCACAGTGGGCATCTGACGAGCAGCTCGGCTGGGGCCACGGTGGGGGTCCCCTCACCGTCGGACTGTCGGGCCATCGTTCCTTGGCGGCCTCGTTCGGAGTCGGCCTTTTCTGGCAGCCTGCTGATATAACTACACTTCAAGAGTTTCCAGAGCTTAGTGTCTCGATGATTGGGCCATGGTTCACAGAAGGAAAAACATAGAAGAATGGTAACATGCGACAGTATAGAAGGAAAACTTACGCGACGGATGCAGCAATACAAGGTCGCTGATTGGACCATGGCTTACAAAAGGAAACATGGCATGGGCACAGAGAGTCATCAACATGGAAGCTTCAGAATGGCCGACACAGGTGGTAAATTGGACTCCACATCTTGATCTGGTCTCGTCAGCCCGCCGACGCCCAGGGCGTCCAAAAAACTCGGTGGACAGACGATACCAAACAATGTGTGCAGACAGCTATTGGAAACAACAGATGGGTACAAGTGGCAAAATCACCAACCTGGGGTGGGCGTAGGCCCCCCCCCTCCAGCCGCTCCCTCGCGGAGCCATGCAGCCGGAATGGAGTTCCAAATCGCTCGCTCTAGAGGTGGGGGGGACTCCAGATCTGATGAAAATCTTGAACTTGGGATAAGTTCTATTCGTTCAGCGAAAGCTATATGAACTAATGACAATAAATGTGGATATAGTTTACTGCTCGTGTGAATTGAGCCAAAGTGCGAACGACAGTACACACATGGCATTCTATGTCTGCCACAGTACACGATCTCCTGCTCATAAGACAACATGCCTAACAGGTCCTATACATCATAATCTCAACTCTGGTCCTATTTTCTTTAGGACAGGTTGGATCTGATAAAACTAAACCCAGCCGGATTTACTTGAGTTCGGTAGCTGCTCTGAAACGGAGTGAAACGACAGAGAGAGAGAGAGAGAGAAAGAAATAAAGAAATGAAACAGGTGAGGTAATGGTCTTAGACAAACCATAGTTGGCATATCAACTTCACCATACTTACATATATATAAATATATCAATATATCCATATATATATATATCCATATATTTATATCCATATATATATATATCCATATATCCCAGGGCACGACGCCCGGGCGCCCGGGGCCGCTGCCTCGAGGGGGCATGGGAGTACCGGGCGTTGTTTTCCATGTGTTTTTACAGGGTTTCGGCGTCCCGAAACCAACAGGGCCCCAAGAGGCTGCAGGGAGGCCCCAGGAGGCCGCAGCAATGGCTCCAGACGCTTTTCAAGACGACTCCCATGACGCCAAGAAGACCCCCGAAGGCCCCGAAGACGCCCCAAGAGGCACCCCGAGAGAGCCCAATAAGCAAAAATCGTTGATTTCCTACGGGACAACTGATACTTTTGGCGTGTTTGCCTTTTGAGCGTCCACTGCGTCCAAGACGGCCCAAGAGGCACCCAAGCCGGTCGAGGATGCCCCCAAGAGGGCCCCAAGACGGTCCACGAGGGCGCCAAGACGGCCCACGAGGCGCCCAAACCGCACAAACACGCCCCAAGGCGGCGCCCAAGACGGAGACGAGGAACCAGAAATTCTGGCTTTTTGGCCCAAGAGACCCTCGGAGACGTCAAGACGCTCCAAGAAGGGGCCCAGAAGCCCCAAGAGGCCCCCATGAGACCCGAAAAAACAGCAAAAGAGGCCCCGAAGACGCTCCAAGAGGCACCCCGAGAGTGGCCCAATAAGCAAAAATCGTAGATTTCCTATTGGAAAGCTGATGTTTTTGGCGTGTTTGCCTTTTGGGCGTCCACTGCATCCAAGACGGCCCAAGAGGCACCCAAGGCGGTCGAGGATGCCCCCAAAAGGGCCCCAAGACGGCCCACGAGGGGGCCAAGACGGCCCACGAGGCGCCTAAACCGCCCAAGAACGCCCCGAGGCGGCGCCCAAGACGGGGACGAGGAACCGGAAATTCTTGCCTTTCTGGCCCAAGAGACCCTAGGAGACGCCAAGACGCTCCAAGAAGGGGCCCAGAAGCCCCAAGAGGCCCCCATGAGACCCGAAAAAACAGCGCAAAAGAGGCTCCGAAGGCACCCCAAGAAGCACCCCGAGAGTGGCCCAATAAGCAAAAATCGTAGATTTCTTGGAAAACTGATATTTTTGTGTGTTTGCCTGCACCCAAGGCAGTCGAGGATCCCCCCAAGAGGGCCCCAAGACGGCCCACGAGGGGGCCAAGACGGCCCACGAGACACCTAAACCGCCCAAGAATTCCCCCAGGAGCCCAAAAGGCCTTTCCGGGGAGCCTCCACAGCGCCCCAGGAGGGCCCAAGACGCCTCCCAGGAGCACCCAGAATGCGAAAAGATGGTCCAAGACGTTCCCAAGCAGCCCAAATCAGCCTTCGGACGGCTCTCGAGGCTCTCAGGTGGCCTCCAAGAGACCCCAAGAGAGGCGTCCCGGGACGGCCCGAAGAGGCCCAAATCGTCGATTTCCTTTTGTTTTTGCAATGTTTTTGGCTTCTCGCGTTTTCGAGCTTCCAATGGTCCAAGAGCGCCGAAGAGGCTCCCAAGACCGCCCCAAGACCACCCATGAGACCCTCAGGACGGCCCCGAGACGAGCCAAGAAGGCTCCAAGACTGCCGAAGAGGCGCCCAGGACAGCCCCAGACTACCCCAGAACAGACCCAAAATGGGCCCAAAAGCGGGAGCAGGAGGCTTCCAGCGACCTCCGAGGGGCCTCTGGGACGCCCCAGAGGCCCCCAACACACCCCCGATCCTTGAGAGGCCCCAAGAAGACCCCGACGAGGCCCCAAACAGCCCAAGAGAGCTGCGAGAGCCGTCCCGAGAGAGCCCAACGAGGGTAACATCGTTGATTTCCCATGTCTTTTTCATTGTTTTTCGCCTTCTGACGTTTTCCCGCTTCCAACCCTCGAAGATTGATGATTTTTTGGGGGAATTACTCTGGCGACGTACCCAACCCTTGCGCAATGCTGGGCGCAAATACATCAGGATTGCTACAACGGGTGTGATGACGTAAGATGGACGCATGTGATTTTGCAGGCAGCAATCGGAAGGCTCGCAGGCGCCCGCTCAAGATATAAGGGCGTCGTAGTGTTTACTAACGCAGCCCCCACCCCCAGGGACGGCGAGGTCTCGCTCAGGTCCGCGCGGTGCGTCATTCCGCAGGACCCACCAGCAGCCCTCAAAAGTTGCGACAGTGTCGCAGATCGCAGCCCCCCAGGGACGGCGAGGTCTCGCTCAAGTCCCCGCGGTGCTTCAGTCCGCAGGACCCACCAACAGCCTTCGAAAGTGGCTCGAAAGTGGCGACAGTGTCGCAGATCGCAGCCCCCCAGGGACGGCGAGGTCTCGCTCAGGTCCCCGCGGTGCCTCAGTCCGCAGGACCCACCAGCAGCCCTCGAAAGTGGCGACAGTGTCGCAGATCGCAGCCCTCCAGGGACGGCGAGGTCTCGCTCAGGTCCGCGCGGTGCGTCATTCCGCAGGACCCACCAGCAGCCCTCGAAAGTGGCGACAGTGTCGCAGATCGCAGCCCCCCAGGGACGGCGAGGTCTCGCTCAGGTCCCCGCGGTGCTTCATCCGCAGGACCCACCAGCAGCCCTCCTCGAAAGTGGCGACAGTGTCGCAGATCGCAGCCCCCCAGGGACGGCGAGGTCTCGCTCAGGTCCGCGCGGTGCGTCATTCCGCAGGACCCACCAGCAGCCCTCGAAAGTGGCGACAGTGTCACAGATCGCAGCCCCCCAGGGACGGCGAGGTCTCGCTCAGGTTCTTGCGGTGCCGCAGTCCGCAGAACCCACCAGCAGCCCTCAAAAGTGGCGACAGTGTCGCAGGCCGCAGCCCCTCAGGGACGGCGAGGTCTCGCTCAGATCTGCGCGGTGCCTCACTCCGCAGGACCCACCAGCAGCCCTCGAAAGTGGCGACCGTTTCGCAGATCGCAGCCCCCCAGGGACAGCGAGGTCTCTCTCAGGTCCGCGCGGTGCCTCAGTCCGCAGGACCCACCAGCAGCCCTCGAACGTGGCGACAGTGTCGCAGATCGCAGCACCCCATGCAAGATGCACACAAGGGGTACCGCATGCAAGATGCACACGCACACACAAACACACACACACACAAACACACACACACACACGCACACACACACACACACACACACAACACACAACACACACACACACACACACACACACACACACACACACACACAACACACACACACGCACACAACACACACACACACACACACACACACACACACGCGCGCGCGCACACGCAACGCACGCAACCACGCACGCACACGCACCACACGCACACGCACACGCACACGCACACGCGCACGCCACGCACACGCACACGCACACACACGCACACACGCACACGCACACGCACCACGCACACGCACACACACACACACACACACACACACACACACACACACACACACACACACACACACACACACACGCGGCACCTACAAGGCAAGAGGAGACAATATTGAGGCGGGAGAAGAAGGAGGAGGAGGAGGAGGAGGAGGGACACGACCACAGTGCTTTGATCAAAACGAATACACAACCAAGGAGGGTTGGGACATTTCCCTGGCGACGTACCCAACCCCTGCGCAATGCGGGGCATGAGTAGCGTGGGAGAAGTTATACGGAGGTGATGACGTGACATGGGCGCATATACTTCTGCGAGCGGCATTCGTGAGGCTCGCAGCCCCCCAAGGATTGCGATGCCTCGCTCAGATCTGCCTGGTGCCTTGCTCCGCTCAACCCGCCACCAGCCTTCGAAAATTGCAACGGTCTCGCAGATCGCAGCCCCCCAAGGACGGCGAGGCCCCGCTCAGATCTGCACGGTGCCTCACTCCGCAGGACCCACCAGCAGCCCTCGAAAGTCGCGACCGTTTCGCAGATCGCAGCCACCCAGGCACGGCGAGGTTTCGCTCAGATCTGCGCGGTGCCTCACTCCGCAGGACCCACCAGCAGCCCTCGAAAGTGGCGACAGCTTCGCAGATCGCAGCCCCTCAGGGACGGCGAAGTCTCGCTCAGATCTGCGCGGTGCCTCACTCCGCAGGACCCACCAGCAGCCCTCGAAAGTGGCGACAGTTTCGCAGATCGCAACCCCCATCGTCGGCGAAGACAGGGCAGGGGGAGGCGGGAGGCGGGAGCAGGAGGAGGAGGAGGAGGGACGCGACCACAGTTCTCTAGTCAAAACGAATACCCAAGTAAGGAGGGTTGGGAAAAAGGAATTTCCAGAATTCCCGTTTTTTTTCAAAGTGGGACTCCGACTCGGAGATCCCCTACATCCCCTGACATCTGGCCGGTACCGCGTCTCCCGGCTTCCGGGGGGGCCCCCAAGACGCCCAAGGACAGCCCAAGACGACCCCAAGGAGCCCCCAGGTCTCGCTCAGATCTGCGCGGTGCCTCACTCCGCTGGACCCGCCAACAGTCTTCGAAAGTGGCGACAGTTCCACTGATCGCTATGCTGGCCCCCCAAGCCCCCATCGAAAATTGCGACGGTTTCGCAGATCGCAGCCCCCCAGGGACGGCGAGGTCTCGCTCAGGTCCGCGCGGTGCTTCAGTCCGCAGGACCCACCAGCAGCCCTCGAAAGTCGCGACCGTTTCGCAGATCGCAGCCCCCCAGGGACGGCGAGGTCTCGCTCAGATCTGCGCGGTGCCTCACTCCGCAGGACCCACCAACAGCCTTCCAAAGAGGCGATAGTTTCGCAG